ATATCCAAAACACAAAGCCGTCAAATGGACTGCCCTGGGAGTCCGAGTGCTAAAGTACAGACACAGTGTTGTTGTTAGCAGCAGCTGTTGGACTCTCCACAGCTCGGACTTATCTCTGGACCAAAGTCTCAGTGACGCCGTCCTGGTCCTCGTGCTCGTGGTTAATGTTTGAGGACGGTGCGTGTGCGAGGGATTTGCCCTGATGCCCTGTCATTATCCCTGCGCTCAGATAAGTGTCAGATAAGTGTGTTTTTAATGTGGGCAGAGACGCATCGACAACACTAACAACACTACAGCTGTGAGATCCTGGCCCCTCCCACATGGTCCCACATGGTCCCACATGGGCCCACACACAGGCCCAGACATGTCCCACTGTCTGCTCCTCACGAGAACACCCCGTAAGGAGAAACCAAGGGAGTGGGAGACGTTAACCCTTTAATGTTCACTCCTTCATCCGAAAAAATCACTTGAAGAAAATAAGTAAATAAGTAAAAATACTCATTGACTGCCATTGATGGATTTGTCTGAGATTGGTCATTTCTGTCCAACTTCCCTCTTTTTGACTCTGGATTACAGGAAAACCAAACTAGCTAGAAAGAAACTTATTTTTGCTGATGAATGTAGACAACCCAGTCTTTCAGAATCTGGTTTCATATGTCACAGAGTCATTGCACACAATATTCTGTTATCCAAACAAGAAAAGTTGTCTCAAATTCAATAAAAAACCAGCTTAAAAACTCACTGCTCAAACGTTTTTAGTATTATAATTTTAGAACGCCTTCTAGACACTCAACTACTACTACTCGTTCGGCGAATGACCAGATACTTTTCCAGAGTCGAGGCATCGCTCCCGGTGGAAATGGCCCTTTAGTTCACCAGAGCTGTCCAGGCGGCGACAGCGTGGGTTTTGACCAGTGTGGGTGGATCTCGGCTTAAAAATGTCCAAAATGACATGCGCTGACTTTCTTGCAATACCACCCCGGGCCTGTGGGGGTGGACCCAAAAACCGAATGATTCAATGCCACTGTATAGCATCTTCTTCTTACCTCTCTTGAAAACACCTTTACAGGATGGTCCAAAAGGCTCTTGGCCCAAAGCTATGTTCCAGATGTGTGTGAGGCTGAGGGGAGTGAATTTCTTTGGACCAGTCTAGTTTGGTTGCTGTGGAATTTTGAAGGCACTTGTAACATTAATGGGACTAGTGTAGCTAACGTATGCTACACTATTTCACATTTTCCAGCCCCGCGGCCATTTTGAAACTGCCCACAGACTGCGAACCTGACTACGTCCATTAATATTTACTGTCTATGGTTCTGACCTCGACAATTCCTTCTACACTGCAAAAAGTGATGAAAAATAAGTCCAAATTGCTCAAACTTGGCAATTTAAGCACATCCTCAGACTACAAACTCATGTAAATCAGTTCTCGGCTTCATTAAAACAAAAGTATGGCCTCATCATTTTGCCTTTCTCTTCAGTCTCATGGTTTGCTCTCTCACTGAGCTTTCCATTTCATTGCAGCATCTTGTCTTTAGATTTTGTTTTGCGGATTGAAAGTTATGTACCCCAACTGTGTGGAGAGCCGGATTTTGTGATCAGTAAGAAAAGTCAATTCAATTCAAATAACTTTATTATTCTGTAAGGAACGACCTTTGCAGACAGAGCACCAGTGGGATACATGAAAACAAACAATATAAAATACAATAAAAGTACATAAATGCAGTACTTTTGAGAGATCATTTAATTTAAGATAAACCTATATTTGTTCCTCTGTGGGGTAATTTCAAGTCCTAAAATCATGACCTAAAATATTGTAATTTTGATGCAGAATACAGTGGTTTAAGGCTTGTATGTTGAACTAGTTATTATAAAACCTTAGCTTCCTTGATTACAGAAGCACATCTCGCTGCAGACGTAACCTTCTGTAATCATGTTGTGTGTGTGCGACCGATAATGGTGTGATAAGTGTGAGAACTTTGGTCGAGTTGTGTTGCTGTTGGCTGCAGGTGGATGAGTTCAGTCTAATGACCTGTGTCTCCAGTGTGAAGACCAGACGCAGCTGGAGTCCTGACTAGAACCAGGAAGTAGGATCACATCAGTCCTGGTCTCAGGTCTCTGCACCTGTGGCTCAGAGAATAGACTTTAAAGCAGCTCTTTGCATGTCCCCAAAGTCCATCTGTGACATGTTGGAGACATATGAACCAACTCTGAGGAACACAGGGACTGGCCTCCTGCTGGGACTCTGAGGAGCACAGGGACTGGCCTCCTGCTGGGAATTTCAGGGTCAGATTTGCTGTATCACCACCAATGTGTATTGTTTAGGTCCACTGCAAAAAGTGATGAAAAATAGTTCAAAAATTGCTCAAATTTGGCTTAATGTATCTTCATTCAAGCACATTCTCCTTTAAAACAAGATTTACCAACGAGCACAGTGATCTCGTTTTAAAAAGATACTACAAATGTCTCCCTTGGAATTAAGAGAAAATAAAGAAACACTTCTTGGAATAAGACTAATAAAGCTTAAGCACAGATTCAGACTGTAAGACTGAGAACCCACTTAGCTCAAAGTCCTCCTGCTGTTTCCGCAGCAACAGAAATCAGTCGATCACACTCAGCTGCAGCATCAGGCACTGCCCGCATCAGTGTCATATCAGGCAGAAGCTCCATCCAAACAGCAGCTTCACTCACGCTGCAACCCTCCTCCTCCCCATCTCCACCTTGTTCTAGACCAACTCCTCCATCCTTCTCCTCGCTCCCACCACCAGGGTCTAGGCCCCGGGGGATTTCATCTCATAATCTCTTTCCTCTTCTGCATCATCAGTGCTCTGCCGGGGTCTAAGGCCAAATCCTAACCACATTCTGTACAGCAACAAATGTAATCTTGAAAATATTGTCCTCGGAGTCATATGTGTGTAATTCATGTAGCGTCAGATAAATCAGATACTGCCAACCAATTCTAATAGTATGTTTTTGTCTGTTTGAGTCTCTCCAGAGTAAAAATGCCTTCGTCCTTTTGGAGAATCTGGTTTTAACGCAGTCAGAATGTGCTCAAAATAAGTTAGAAACCACTTGATTTAAGCGTTTATTGCCTCCTATTGTATCATTCCGTGCCGTGTGACATGTATTGTAAGCGGGAGAATAACTTTGAAAGAGTGTTTTAATGAGTTTTGTCACCTCTCTGTGTCCTGGTCTATAAATAACCGCGTGGACATGGCCTCTGAGCTGCGTGAGCCCGGGGCCGGACAGGAGCTGTGTTTTTCTTGCAATATTACGTTTGGGGTTTTGCACACGGCTGGTCCCGCCCCCTCAGCAGAACTGTGGGTTGAGATTTTAACTTGGAGCAGAACCGGAGCTGAGCATGAGGTGTGCAGGTGTGACGCAGAGAGGGGGAGAGCAGGACAGGAGGTCTCACTCTCACAGCTCTCCACGTCCTACTGTTTCCTCTGCATTTACTACTCTCGCAAAGTTGTTTTTAGAGACTCATGCATGACTGGGTTCTTTACTTGCTCCTCCCCGTGGCTCCTCTGACCTCTGCTGTCAGTGTTGGGAGTAACCATGGATCTATAATAATATCTGGATAGTGTATCTGCTCATATTCTCATATTCTCCGCTACTAATGTATAATATAGACATCTGTAAATACTCCGAACCAAGTGCAATTGTAGCCCAGATTTTCTTATTTTATTTTATTTTATCTTAAATTAGCGGCACGGTGGCTGAGTGGATAGCACTCTCGCCTCTCAGCAAGAAGGTCCTGGGTTCGAATCCCGGTCGGACCAGGGCCTTTCTGAGTGGAGTTTGCATGTTCTCCCCGTGTCTGCGTAGGTTTCCTCCGGGTACTCCGGTTTCCCCTACCACTAAAAATATGTCCAATAGTTCTGGCATGCGCCTCCTGTTCGGCGACCCCGCTCCCATCTCTGTGTGGAGTGAGAGACAAGTGCCCAAAATTAACAATTGTAAAAAATTTGAGACTCAGATCTGCAGTGAAAAGGCGGTATATAAATAAAAACTTACTTACTTACTTACTTACTAAATTTATTGTCTATTATCTTAAATAATAGACTTTGATGTGTGCGTCTGAGTGCTCTTATGTCCTTTCTATGCTGTAATGTGCAACGATGACACTGAAATTTCTCCACTGTGAGACTAATAAAGGTTTATCTTATCTTATTACTAGCTTGGAGCTGAAGGATTCATGTGCTCGGGGGATTCTCGTGGTACTGCGGCCTAAACAAGACTAAAATCACGTGGTTCTACCCAGACATTATAGAACTAAAATGCTCTGTTTTAAAACTTGCTACACTTTGTACATCCTCAGACTACAACCTCATGTAAAGCCGCTCTCTGCTTTATTAAAACAAAAGTATCGCTTCATCATTTTCCCATAGAACTGAATGTAATATATTTACTGAATCCCAATTGTTATTTTTATTTTTTTTGCCTTCTTCCACTTTATCCGTTGCCAGGTTGCGGGGCCAAAATGCTCTGTTTTAAAACTTATACACTAAAACACATCCACAGACTACGAGGAGGAGTTTGCATGTTCTCCGTGTGTATGCGTAGGTTTCCTCCGGGTGCTTAGGTTTCCCTAGAGCAGGACTCGGACCAGGACTCGGACCAGGACTCGGACCAGGACTCGGACCAGGACTCGGACCAGGACTCGGACCAGGACTCGGACCAGGACTCGGACCAGGACTCGGACCAGGACTCGGACCAGGACTCGGACCAGGACTCAGACCAGGACTCAGACCAGGACTCAGACCAGGACTCAGACCAGGACTCGGAGCAGGACTCAGATCAGGACTTAGACAAACAAACATATAACTTAAATATGAATAATAAATTACATTAATAAAAATATAAATATTAAAATACATTAAAGTACATTCTGAAAGCGAAAAGCATGACTCCACAGTTTATGATGAATATACATAACTCTTAAATGTGTAATTATTCTTTAAACACCATTTTCTAATAACATTGTTTTTTTTTCCCAACAGGAAGAATGGGCCTGAACTTCCACCATCCTGGAGACCACATCATGCCCCTCAACAGTAAGTCACTTCATAAAAGACATGGAAACGTTAAGTCGTAGGTAACGTTTGGAATACATGCAACGTTTGTTTTTGAACAGTTTGAGATTTATCTGAATCCAGAGAGAGAGATACCAGAGAGAGACCAGAGAGAGACCAGAGAGAGACCAGAGAGAGACCAGAGAGAGACCAGAGAGAGACCAGAGAGAGACCAGAGAGAGAACAGAGAGAGACCAGAGAGAGACCAGAGAGAGAGACCAGAGAGAGACCAGAGAGAGACCAGAGAGAGACCAGAGAGAGACCAGAGAGAGACCAGAGAGAGACCAGAGAGAGACCAGAGAGAGACCAGAGAGAGACCAGAGAGAGACCAGAGAGAGACCAGAGAGAGAGACCAGAGAGAGACCAGAGAGAGACCAGAGAGAGACCAGAGAGAGAGACCAGAGAGAGACCAGAGAGAGACCAGAGAGAGAACAGAGAGAGAACAGAGAGAGACCAGAGAGAGACCAGAGAGAGACCAGAGAGAGACCAGAGAGAGACCAGAGAGAGACCAGAGAGAGACCAGAGAGAGACCAGAGAGAGACCAGAGAGAGACCAGAGAGAGAGACCACAGAGAGAGAGAGAGAGACCAGAGAGCGAGACTAGGAAGAGACCAGAGAGAGACCAGAGAGAGACCAGAGAGAGACCAGAGAGAGACCAGAGAGAGAGACCACAGAGAGAGAGAGAGACCAGAGAGCGAGACTAGGAAGAGACCAGAGAGAGACTAGGCAGGGACCAGAAAGAAACCAGAGAAAAAAAAAGAGAGAGACCAGGCATGGACAGGAGAGAGAGATCAGGGAGAGAGACAAGAAAGAGAAACCAGGCAGAGACCAGAGAGAGTACTCTGAGCAGAGAGAGAGAGCACTGTGAGCAGAGAGAGAGAGACAGAGCAAGAGCAAGAGACGGTGAGCAGAGAGAGGAGGAGCGAAGAGAAGAGAGGGACGCGAGCAGATGGAGAGACGCCCGCTGCAGAGAGGGAGGGACGGCGAGCAGCGAGGGGAGAGGACGCGGCAGAGAGAGAGAGACGCGAGCAGAGAGAGAGGATGCGAGCAGCGAGAGTGAGGAACCGTGAGTCCGCGTGTCTTATGGTCCGCGCCTCGGAGCCAGACGCAGTGCGTTCACTGCGCTGTTCAGAGCGGGGGGTAACAGCAGCTGCTCCGGGCCCAGAGCGGAGGATGTAACGTAACGGTCGGTTTATCAAAAAAAACATAACAAATATTTAAACGTATAAAACATAGTGAATTTCACTAGATTTTTTTCCAGACATTACAGACAAGATATTATTTCATATTGTTTAATGAAAAAAAAATAACAAATTTTGCCACAAGCAACCACAAAGATGTGCCTCAGACAAGAATCGAAACCTGGTTCTCAGGGTCCCTGTATTTTACTGCTAACCATTCGGCCAACATAGCACCTCTGGGCTAGACAGGTTTGCACGCAGTCTTATACTGAGCGTCTAAGTCGCTGGTCAGAGCTAAAGCGGACTTAGCCTGCCACTTGGGCGATAAGATGTACTATTTTTCACGCCGCTGCGTGCTGATTCCCGAGCGAATCTAAGAAGCGTGAATGAAGGACGACAAAACGGAAAATGGGCCTTATTAGTGTGTAAATGGACTGTCGACTGCGTATATAGGTATTTTGATATGACTTGTGGCCAAGGATCGTTGATGAATATTGAGGAAAAGAAGGGGACTCTAAAGTGGAGCCCTTTCTCAATTATGCATTTGTTGGACTTGGAACAATGTGACAAAACATATTGAAAATGGCGTTGGTATCAGACCTAATTGCGTTAAGTTGTCAAGTAGAAGGGAGTGCTCTACAGAATCAATGGCTTTGGAAAGATCCTTGGAATATGGAGCCAGGACTATTTGTCCAAATCATGAAAATAAATCAATGTTACATTTTAACAGAGCAGTGGTGGTTGAGTACCTTGATCGGAAAAACCCTAGATGGATAGGGAACAAAATATGAAATGCATTTGTGTAGTGATCTAAACTGGTTGGAAAATCAAATTTTTCAAAAATTTGCAACTGCACAAATATTAGAAATTGGCCGGGAAAATTGTTTAAGTCAGTGGAAGTGCTTTTCAATACACTTACCAATTTCATTGGTGTGGACTTTCTGTTATTGTATCTGGTTTAATTTGATATTTTTTTTGGTTTCCCTTGCTGTGAGTTTTGCTTCCTCGTCTGTCTTGTTGATTGTTTGCCCTCATGATGTGCTACCACTGTGTCCCCCTGTGTGTATTTAGACCCTGTGTCATTGTCCTCTTTGGTTTGTGGACCATATGTTGTTTTCCCCCCCTTCTCTTGTTCCCGGTTTCAGTGTTTACTTTTATTGGCCTTTATTAAAATTATATTCATTTTAGCAGTTCTGCTTTCGGTGCGGTTCTCTATGACAACCAAGGATTAATCCAGACCACCAGAGGCTCACAAGCCTTTGGGCATGAATTTGGCGTACTAGAACATGTTTCACCTCCAGCCAACTACATCAAGTGGTGCTCCTTCACTCACTTCCATTGAAATGATGACAATGGTTGTGTAACACAGGTCATTCTAAAAAATAATATAAACGCAAAACAGTAATTTTAAAATGTATATTTCAACCCAACTGAGGTGTCAATACAAATGATGTACAAAAGTTTTGGTGTAGCCATCGTCTATGTTTCTGACTTACTGATTGTAACCTCGCCCGGGGATACCCATGCTGGTACGCGCTCTTAATCTAACATAACTTACCAGAGAGTCCTGTAAATTAAGGCCCAAATTGTTCGCAATGAATTTGGAAACTAATCACAAAATTGGATTGGCTATGGCCATAGTAGTATTCAAGATAATTGGCTCTGGGCTGTGTGCGATGACTCGTACAGGAGGATCTTGGAGTGACGTCGTATGTTCCATATTATCCGCTCCGGATAGTCTTCTTAAAGATACCCAAAGACATCATCCCCGCGGCAGACATCCTCATCAGTTCCTGGAAGGTTTCGCAAGGGTTTAAAAAAACTAGCTATCCTTGAGAAGGAGGGGAGGACACAACTGTTGGCACTTGTGAGGATCTCATCCAATTCTTGAGGGTACTGCTACTTGACTAGTGGTTCTGCCATGCTCCCCAGAGTCGATTGGTACTGCACACACAACGGTCTGGGATCGAGGCAACGCTAACTCCTTCAGGAGATAAAAAACGAAATTCATCGGAGTATTACTTAAAGATCCTCCTTAATCTTAGCAATCCCAAAATACACAGACTATATAACCCCCCCTTCGCCCCAAAAAAATATTGAATACTTTAAAAGCTGCTAATTTATCGTACGAAAATGTTACTACAAAAATTGCCCACGTTATAAATATCCATCCCTTTCTTCCCCTTATACATTTCTGGATGGGGGCGTGGTGGCTGTCATGAGCCTGCACCATAGTTCAAAAGCACCCTCATTAGTAGTGTATATATTAATTAAATCTACATTAATAAAACATGCATAGCCACCTGTAATATTATTAAATATTTGATAAAAAACTAAACTAAACCTAAAATCTTTAAATAAAAAGACTGGTGTCAATACTTTTTATAATTGAAGCTTGCGTTGTATCATGAGGTGGAGATGAGTGAGGACTCTCAAACGCAGGAAATGCCATAATTAAGATTTAATATACAATTAAGTCCAAGGCAAAAAACACAAACCTCCAAAATCCAAAGTACCGAGGAACCCAGAGGGAACTTGACCATGACAATGAACCAAGCACACAGGGACAAGAGAGGGGAGCGAGAAGCATCAGGTAATTAGGGACACAGACGATCACAGAAGAACACATAGGGCGGGGCAGACAATCAACAGGGGACAGGACATGAAGTATAAAACTGAAATGAACCAGAGTACATAATGTCAAAATGAAAACCAAAATACAGAAATAATAAATCCACACCATGGAAACAGTGGAACCTCAGTACATCAGATAAAATTAACAGCTCACCATGAGTAGTTTTGGACTCTAGGGACAGTTAAGAGATATTGCAGGACCTAAGTGTCCCAGAGGGTTCATAAATAAAATAAAAATGCGAATTTAAGATACATAAACAGGACCTGAGGATTATTTAAAAACATTCATAAAGCAGTATATTAAAATCAAAAGGTATCTTACAAAATAATGCGCCCAAACACAATCCTTTTTTGCAGAGGTCGTGGCGTTTTTCATGACATGGCTCAAACCTGGTTGGATGGATGTGGAAGTCAAAAGCCTCTCCAAAATATTGCCCCTAAATTTAACATCATATTTCATGGAGGAGGTTTTCCCCAATGGAGAGCCGACAAAGTCGTCGTGGTATGGAATGCAGCAGAACCAAAGATCCATCGCACACAAAATATTTACATGCCTTTTACAAGGCATTTTTTACAAACATTCTCCATCCCTGCATCTGTCATAACGTTGCCTGTAAAAAAGTATATAATGGAATGGGTTCGTGTGGTGTGATCCAAGTAGCAGAGTAGCTATGGGCAGTGGTGAGGCACCTTTTGAAAGGGTTTCTTACCACGGTCTCATTCCATAAAATGGCTTGAGTGTCTTCCTCTGCACTATGCACCCTGTAGCATCCAGGTAACACCAATGTCCTCTTTGATCTTGACTGGAAAATATTTAGACTTTTTTGGATACAGCATGATTCCTTTAGGGTGTTGATAATCTTCTGAATTAATCTCATCAGGCACCAGTTGGTGTTCTGAAAGGACATTCACTGCTGTTTCATTGGATAAGGTATATTATTTTTTCTCTGTACGAGGGGCTTCTGTCCTTGCAAACCAGACTCAAAATACAATTCCAAATGGGTTCTATTTTTCTCCAGGTTACCAAATATACCTACAATTTGTCTGCCCCTTGATCCCACTGGGTCTGCATATTAACTATTCTGTGCGGTGAGCCGCCCCAACCCGTGACCAGTAAAGTCACACGACCCTTCAAAACTGATGTCAGTAGGCACTGGGACTGAAGCTGTTACCGTACAGTCTTTATTGTACAAAAAGTGTACATGAAAA